GTTCTCAGTGGTTTAGAAAGGCAGAGCTTATTGATCAGCAGCAGACTGGATGAAATAAATCATCATAAAACTGAATGATCGTTTATCAGCTCACTGATGAATGGTATAGATTATTTGTATTTCTTTAAGTAGAGCTGCAGAGTTCATGAAAAAATAAATCTTGTCATAGACAAACCTGATTTGATTTGGATGGACTTTATCTCTGCTGCTGATTGGACATAAATAAAACAAAGAAACTGTTTATTTTCAGTGGGGCAGTTGGACATGTTTCAGACTGGAACCTGTCAAACATTTCATTGAAAATATGTCATTTGAACCAGTCAAAAATGCTCAGAGTTGCTTTAGTCTGTACGACTGATGTTGTGTTTGTTGTCCTCTCAGTCCCCCAGGAGGAGGTGGTTTCAGGGGTGGAGTCTGTCAAGCTGCCCTGCAAAACTACCATAAACCTGCCTGAAGTTGCTAAAGTAGAGTGGAAGACCAGATTCAACAGGAAGGTCCACGTGTACGAGAACAGATCTGACCAGCTTCAAGATCAGGACCAGCGTTACAGAGACCGAACAAAGATAAATGAAGACCCGCTGAGAACTGGAAACTTCAGTCTGACCCTGAAGTACCCCACAGACTGGGACACAGACACCTACACCTGCACCGCCTACAGCAGGGAGGGAAACATCCTGATGAAGAAACAAGTGGAGCTGAAAGTCAAAGGTCAGTGCTGTTTTGTGTGTGTGAGCTGCAGATGCCATTGAAACTTGAGAAAGTGTAATAACTCCAACTGTACATATCTTGTCCATTTAACACATTTATTGCTCGCCAATGGTTGTATTCATAGTTTATTCATAGTTTAACAGTTCCTCTTAGTATTCAACATCATTGAACATTGATCACAACAACCTTAAGGTCCTACTGACCAATAACACCTGATGGTAATTAAATGTACCTACCTTAAAAACTGTACCAAAAAGACATATCATGGTGTAAAAACAGAGGCACACAAACATAAATGGCTCCTAAAGCCCGGCCCCTTATGCACCAGACTTGACAATTCTAATTATAAAGAAAATAGGAAGCTATTAATAAAGTGTATTTTAGACACACAAAACCAAACCAAAGCCCTCTGCAGAAGACTTTTCAAAAAAAAAAAAGATATCTCCAGGTTTTAGACAGGTCTGCTTCTGTGCTTCAGCTTTCTCTACAACTCTGAAAACCTGCTGCTGCTACAGCTCATGTTGTGTTTGTTGTCCTCTCAGTCTGCCAGAAGGAGTTAGAGGAGGAGGAGTCTGTCGAGCTGCCGTTCAAAACCTCAGAAAACCTGCCTGAAGTTGCTGAAGTGGTGTGGAGGGACAGCAATGACAGGAAGGTCCACGTGTATAAGAACGGCTCTGACCAGCCTGGAGAACAGCACCAGCTTTACAGAGACCGAACGGAGATGAACGAAGACCTGCTGAAAACTGGAAACCTCAGTCTGACCCTGAAACACCCCACAGATGGAGACAAAGGAGGATACAGCTGTAGAGTCTACGGGGAGATCCAGAGATACAAAAGAGTGCTGCTCAGAGTCAAAGGTTTGTGTGGTTTCCATGTGGTGGGGTGCGAGGCAAATACTGATGTATATAGTGAAATCCACGTCATCAAGAACTGTGAAGAACAGCTTGCTCTAAACTGGAACAAATTATAGAGAAATGGACCAACAGTGAAGTCCAAGCTTTGTTAGAGGTCCAGGCCTGCGCACACACAGTGTAAACACAGTGAAACTACAGAGTACTGTGAGGAGATACAAAAGCTCCTCCTTCTGTTCTACTCAGAAACCCACTGCTGCTGTCTGTACAGCTCATCTTTTGTTTGTCGTCTTCTCAGACTGTCAGGTGGAGGTGGACAAGAGGGAGGCGCCTGTCCAGCTGCCATTTAAAACAACAGCAAACCTGCCTGGAGATACCAAGGTGCAGTGGAAGGTCAGTGGTGATAGGATGGTCCATGTGTATGAGAACGGCTCTGACCAGCCTCACAAACAGCACCAGGATTACAAAGACCGAAC